CTCTCTCTCTCTCTCTCTCTCTCTCTCTCTCTCTCTCTCTCTCTCTCTCTCTCTCTCTCTCTCTCTCTCTCTCTCTCTCTCTCTCTCTCTCTCTCTCTCTCTCTCTCTCTCTCTCTCTCTCTCTCTCTCTCTCTCTCTCTCTCTCTCTCTCTCTCTCTCTCTCTCTCTCTCTCTCTAGCTCTACACCCCTCTCCTCTGTGTGACTCAATTGAATATACTCAAGTCCACAAAATGTTTTGTAAAGGACATCATCTTACATTATTCTACTCGCTTTCATACATGGCGTACAAGCCCCCAAAGAAGGACCATCTCGTTTTTTGTTTATTTTTCTGTTCATACATACACAAAAAGTTTCATACTTTGGGGTTTTTGAACTGGTAAATATAATAATTTATTCTCTATTCATATCATCTTTTATTGTTCAACTTATCCAAACTATTATCAACCGTGTCAGAAAATCAGAGTCCTAAATACTTAAATAGAGCGGCTACCCTTAAATGTGGGTCATCAAGCTATTATTATTATTATTATTAATAATAAATAAAGAGCATACAGCTACCTGTAAATTCACCTGTGCTTTTCCTGCATGACGAGTCAAAATGTCTGCTGTGAAAAAAGGTCTTTTGGCACATATGTGTCGCAGCTATCGGACCTTTCAACAAGGTGTCCATCAGCTCAGCCATGGACATGGACACTGACAAAGTAGGACCCCTCACCCTCGTGTCTTCCTGTCCCTTTTCTTCTGTCTTGTACCACACTCCAGCAGCAGTTCCCATCCTCTCACCCAGTAAATCAGCATAAAATAGCCCGAACTGTGGCCAATCATATGGGTAGGCAGGAAGGAGGTGCTGCTCTTTTCAAGATGGGGCCCATGAAATTATCCAACAGGATTATGTAAGGCATGATGGATTCTGCTGCGTTTGTCCATTGTGAGCTTCTCTCTCTCCCCGGCAGCCTGGTGTGTTAGCCATGAAGCTATACTCCACACATTGTGTGTTGTCCTGCATGTCCTCTTTATTGAGGTGAGGGTGGGGGGGGTCCTCCTCTGCTCCGGCTTCATAAATGTTTCCATTAATCTTTTTGGACATATGCGTAGGGCAGGATCACACCCAAATTTAGCCTGCGCTGAAATGGTCATACATCTTTTTAATTAAGGGACAAGGGACTTAATCGGCCTGTTGTACCTGTTGAACTCGCAGCTCTTGTTTTTCCTGCAGTATCTATGCTATCAAAAGGTTTTGGTCCCTGACAGTGAAGCTGGCATGCGAGAGCTCATCTCTTCGAACCCTTGCTGTTCCTGCCGAGGTCACAGAGTGACCGTGGAGCTGTGGAAGCCATGTTTACCAGAGACCCCTGTGTTCAGCCTATTGCGTCCTTTCAAACACGTGGTAGAAGCCTGTGAGAAGAGGCTCATGTTTTGGTTTGGAAATACGCTTAAAGAGTGACAGTAATGCAAATAGATAAATAACATGAATGGTTATTTTGTGCAGTTTGGTATTTTTTTGTCATGTGTGATTGTACCCACTGTATTTTCAAACTATTAGTATAAAGAGAATAATACTGATGTATTTCTTGTACTCTCTGTCTTAATCATTTACATAAAACATTAATCTGTTTTACATTCTGAATGTCTTTTGAAGCACACTCTTTAAACAAGAATGCCCATTCTAGGTCAGCTAGGACTGCAACTAGTCATTATTTTACTGTTGATTAATCTTCAGTTCTCCTTTTGATTAATTAATTAGTAAGTAGTCTAAAAAAATGTCAAAAAGACAAATACCCATCACAGCTAATCAAAGCAACACGTTTAATCTTAAAATGTCTTATTTAATCTGATCAGCAGCCTCATGTATTTGATTTATAATGGCACGTGTGAAGCTTTTGAACACAACTAATGCTCTGTATTTACACTTCATTACTGACCGAACTGTTAATTGACTAAATCTTAATTGGTACGTTTCTCTTGGCTAATCTCACAGCACTGATGTTATTTTACTGGAGAGAAGAAACCAATCACAAACCTCTGTTACAATGTTCAACCTTTTTCGCTTAGGTTTCACATCTCTCCAGCAAACAGCGAGGCTTGTATCAATTTAGGAATAATTAAGCAAATAAACTAGAGTATGTGTTGATGTGACTTTCTTAAACGTGCATGATTTGGTAATAGAAGCTATCATATCTACACTGAGAATATAGATTAGCATATTTACAGCACATACCTCCTAGACACACTCTCTCTCTTGTCTTTCACTGTGCGCCTGTGTGTGTGTGTGTGTGTGTGTGTGTGTGTGTGTGTGCGCACACAGACTCGCAGCAGCCACCCTTGCCCCCACCCCTCTCATTAATATGTATGTGTTCTGAGGCAGCTAGCGAAGACGGTGTGTTTCTCACCCGCTGATTAATGCTGTCTGTCAATTACCTCTAGATCCAACCGTGCTGTGGAGCTTCCCCCAGGACCACACCGACCAGGTTGGAACACACTCTGCTTTTTCATTCTTCTTCTCTCTCTCTCTCTCTCTCTCTCTCTCTCTCTCTCTCTCTCTCTCT